TTATTTTTTTTCCTTGGTTTATTTTACTTTTATCAGATTAAACAACACTTGAATAAAGGCATACACCAAGGAGGGAGGTAGAGGGGAAGAAGAGGGAGGAGGAAGGAAGGAGTAAGGGGAATGTAAGGAGGGTGTCCGGGGAGTAAGGGGAGAAGGAAGGTTTGAGGGGAAAGGGAAGTAGGAGGGGGTAGATGGGGTGTATGGAGGATGGAAGTGTCAGGTGGGGTTGTGAATGATGAGTTGTGTTTTCTTTTTATTTTATTTTTTTCCTTGGTTCATTTGACTTTTATCAGATCAAACAACACTCGAATAAAGGCATACACCAAGGAGGGAGGTAGAGGGGAAGAAGAGGGAGGAGGAAGGAAGGAGTAAGGGGAATGTAAGGAGGGTGTGTTGGGAGTAAGGGGAGAAGGAAGGTTTGAGGGGAAAGGGAAGTAGGAGGGGGTAGATGGGGTGTATGGAGGATGGAAGTGTCAGGTGGGGTTGTGAATGATGTGTTGTGTTTTCTTTTTTATTTTGTTTTATTTTATTTTTTTATCTTTTTTTTTCTTATAGCAAATACTCTGTATATAAGTGATTGCAAAATGGAATGTGAAAATGAATAAAATATATTTTTTTTAAAAAAAGAAGTATAGAAACAAGGGGGAAAGTAGAAAAGATGAAATGTGTCTCCTCGCTTGTGAAGCACATTGTCTCCCCTTTTGTAGTTGTGTTGCAACATCACACATATGAATGTTGAGGGTGGAGCTTGTATCAGATCATGATGGACATCTCCTTACTCAGAAGTGTTGACTTTCGGGGAATGCCCTTAGGGAAGTATGGAGAAACATGATGAAAGGCATTGGTGTAAGCTACCATATTTTTCGGAGTATAAGATGCACCAAGATTTTGAAGACAGAAATTAAAAAAAAAAAAGGTTTTTGCACTCTCGTTTGCAAAAATGGGCCCCCTTTCCCCCAAAAAGGCATGAATAGCCTTTAGGAGGTTTGTAGAATGCTCCTGGTGGGTGTGTGTGCAAAATTGAACAGAAAACAGCCCGTTTTTCGCTCATTTCTGCAACTCCCAGGAGCACTCTGGGCTATGCACAGCCATTTTGGTGAAGGAGGCGGGGTTTTGGGAGGCAAAAAAATGCTGTATTCAGTGTATAAGAGGCACCCAGATTTTCAGCCTCTTTTTTATACTCTGAAAAATATGGTAGATTTAAATGTACTTTGTTTTTTTATTCCATGCTCTAATTTTATTTTCTATTCGAGAGCCAATGTGGTCTAGTGATTAAGCCACCAGGCTATAAACAAGGAGACTGTGATTTCTAATCCTGCCTTAGGTATGAAAGCTGGCTGGGTGATTTGGGTCAATCACTCTTTCTCAGCCCGCAAAGTGAAGCTCAGGCAACTAGCTGGTCAGTTAATTCTTGTTGCAACTAGTGTATCAATGCTTGGCTGATCTAAAAAAAGTGTTTAAGGGAAAAACTAGGGGGAAAATACTTTTATTTATCACCCCTTTTTGACACTTGTAGAATGTTGCTTGTGTTATCAGTGGTCTCTCAGAGGCCTTCTCTTAATTCAGAAAAAAAGACCTCTAAAGCTAGCAAAACTATGCCCCAAAATTCTATTATTGTTAGAGTTCCTTGAGGCCCACTGTAAAAAATGGCTTCCAAGCCTGACAATTATTTTGCCACCATATTTTGGTAAAGATAACTTAAGGAACTGCAAACTGGGCACTGAGGATGATACTGGTCCTTGACTGCCCATCTCTACATAATTCAGATCTAATCATAAATTGAAACCAAGTGTAAGACTTTGATGGTGCTCCATTACTATATATTTTCACTAGGAAGGGTTACTCAAAGTCAGTGAAGTTTACACTAAGACAAACACACTAAAAATTTTTTTGTAGACACCACATTTAACTTAACAAGTGAGCTATTCTCATCTTCAGATTCTTTTGGGATGGAGCCAATTTTAGTTCCACATAAATGGCGCTAGTTCTGCACAACAAATTAAAAGCATTGCTTGAATAAGTGGACACCTCATGGTTGAATCAACTGGACCCCTTTGCTGGATTTTTCTTTTGTTGTTTTTAAAGTCAAGTGAATATTGAAGGGTGTCATGTTATTAAGTATTAAGATAGCTTGGGACCTATGATTTAACCAGAGATTTGCTGGTAAATAATTGGTTACTTTGGCAACTGCTTGGGAAGGTGGGAGGTCATTATAGCACCTACGTTTTCTTTAAGCAAAACACAACTCAAGCAAATTCCTCAGCCAGAGTTTAGGCAAGAATAAAGGAAAAGGAAACAGTTCAGACAGCTTTTTCCTTTGGTAAACTTGCTTTTCACTTCACAGTGTGAAAGAAGCCTTTTCAAAAAATGAGATGTCAGCCATGAAAAAGAGATGGCATAAGTAAAGATTTCACTGAAAGAAAGTCTCTGTCTCAAACAACTGAATGAGAACCCTTAATTTAATATACAAATGAAACTTGAAAAATTAGAATATCGTGCAAAAGTTCATTTATTTCAGTAATGCAACTTAAAAGGTGAAACTAATATATGAGATAAGANTCCAGTCCCCTAATCATCTTTGTTGCTGTTCTCTGCACTTTTTCTAGAGTCTCCACATCTTTTTTACATCGTGGCAACCAAAACTGAATGCAGTATTCCAAGTGTGGTCTTACCAAGGCATTATAAATTGGTATTAGACATCATCTGTAGTTTATGGATATAATCTACCATCATTTTTTTACTTCATTGTAAAGATGAAGCACAATAAAAATTAATTATTGCAATTAAATTCTGTGACCTTTAAGTATGCTAATGCTCCACTTTTTCTGACAGTATGATATTTAACTCACAAGGATTGTTATTCCTATTCTTTTCAAGCTTTTAAGACACTAAATCTGATGCTAATTTATGTTAGCCATGGTGCCATAGTACTGATTAGTGTTCTGTCCTTTCTGATGAAGAAGGACGTTTTTAGCTCAAGACTGAAATATGGGGTCCCCTCATTCTGTCCTTTTTATAAGGTTTTGTTTTGTTTTTATTAATTTCACTTGTCTTTTATGCTCGAAAGCTATTAGTACAGGCATGGCTGTTACAATTCTCATTCCATACCAGGAATCAATATAGTGAAATTTGCTATCAGACTGTCAAAAATTAGGATAGTGATGTCAAAAATCTCCTGACATTCTGAATTATTATTGTTTGTAGAATAAAGTGGGGCTTTTAACAAAGCTCATTTTTAAGACATTTAAAGGGGATGTCTTTAGATGCTCATGTGAATAAAAAAAAAAATAAGATGCAGAGCCAAAGAGTCATGAAATGCTATTGATCTTTGTGTAAGACTTAAAGATATACAAATTTCTGCTGCAGATAACTGGTAATAATGCAGCTAATGCTAGTTCTGTTAGGTTAAGTAATATCTGTAGTGGACAAGAACCATTTTATTGATTTAAAAAACTAAGTAAATAGAATCAGGCATCTTCATGTATTTTAGTTTAATAATTATAAATAATTTAAAAATCCTTTGTTGGAAAATGGCAAGTTTAGAGTTAGGATTACAGTGTTGTTATAATATGTATATATTATTTATTATGTGTATAATGATATATGCATGTATGAAAATACAGAGTTTGAATCACAATAGTGTGAGGCTGGTTTTGTTCTATTTTTGTCTAACATAATCTGTAGAAATCATTGTTTCATATCTGGGTCTAGATTATCAATTCTGATAATAAGAATATCATGATATTATAATATATCATATTTTGTAATTAAGTTGTATCTTTTTCTCAACAGATCTTTGTGTACACTTGTATGTAAATGGACATTCTCCTCAGAAACTGGCTGGGATGATAGTTTTTGGAAATCAATTGGATTAGAAGATCTTATGGCAAATAAATATTCAAAAATAGGTAATGTACAGTATTGAATTCTTTTTAACTGTTGGATTCAGTAAGAAATTTTAAGGCTAGATAAGAGTCAATTCAAATGTAATTGAAAGCTATATTTACTATTATAATTATGTATTTTAGGAACTTTATTTAAGAAAAGTATCCCTAAACAACTTCAGTTGTAACATTGTATACTGTATTCTATATTTTGTGGTAGAAAATTGCTGGAATCTTTCTGTCTAAATTATGACAATAGATACTTACTTCACAAAATCTGTGTACCTGACTAGAATCTGTTAAACTTTTTGTTTCCTGTTTTTAGCTTTTGTTTTCCCAAGAATTGATGTAGATGTAACTCATAAGTCATGCTTGGATTAAGAAAAGGCAGAGGGTTAACATGTGTAATAAGACTTATTCTGGCTTAATATCTTTAGTGATGTAAGTACATCACTAAAAAGTAAATGTATTTTAAAAGCATTAAATTTTCTCAAGGAAGTATGAATATAGCTCACTCCTGTTTTCACCACCATAAGAACCCTATGAGGTTGACCAGAGAGAAAGAAAGTGACCCAAAGACATGATGTAAGTTTTTGTAGTTCAGGGCAGAATGAAACCAAGGTCTCCCTACTTTGGTACCTTAACTGCTATATTATACTGTCTCTGTAAGAAAGCAATGTAAACCTAGATTCATTTAAATGTGGTGGGGAAAAACAAAACAAAGCATTCAATATTTATTCATGGTAAAATAAACGAAAACAGAGGTCAAATGGACATTTTATTATCAAGGTTTTGTGAGTTTCAGGCAGGAACTACCACAGCGAAGGCCCATTGGTGTGTGTTACAAGGTCACAAATAGTCAATTCTGCACCTACAACAGATAACTAACTGTGACTGAACAGCAAGTTTTACCAAAATGGATAAGCTCATCACTGAGAGATTGGAATATTTGGTCTGTTCCTCTTTTTTTCAGCAAACAAATTCTAACTGTGGATAAAATCTTCAAGTACTGAAATTTAAGGAAGCTATTCAAATCTTGAAATGGTAGTTGACAGAGATACCTACAGAGGAGAGTCAAGGGAGCAGTAAACACTAAAAAACTCCACCCTATGGGATATCGCTCATGGTTGATATCTTAATCCAGTCTTTTCTCTTGGTCAGTCAAAAGATAAATCAAGGAATTTCTAGCCACTATGTACACCATTTTCAAGGGAAAATTGGAGTACAACCATGATAAATTGATATTTTTCTTGGCTTTCATTAAACATGACCCTACATTATGATTCTAATTTACAGCCAAGTTCCGGTCCAGTGTTAGGTATTATCAGTGGTGGGTTGCTAGCCGGTTTACTACCGATTCGCTCATGCTCGTGCTTGCGCATGCACAGAAGCATATACAAAATCCAAAAACGAAAGAAAAAAGACTAGAACCATGTGCATAAAGACAAAGTAACAAAGGCACGCAGTCTATTTTGTCATTTTGTCATCATGAACCCTTCTGTGTTGCTCTCCAAAACAATTGTGTGAATCACAGATTGCTCACTCTACAGAAGGGAATTTGATTTGGACTAGTATACCTCCTGCTGTTTCTAGTAAAAAAAATCTGGATTTTAAAAATGTGATTAAACTGATATAATTTAACATGCTTTGTGAACTCAAGTACAATCATTTTACCAATTTGAGCCAAAGTTTAATGACAGCGTTAATCTCATTAACTGCACAGTACTTAAAATGGATTTCCATTTAAGACTGTAATGCTCATTTGGCGAAATTTTTCCAGACTAATTGTAATCAATTTTCCTTGTTCACTTAATTGGCTTTTAATGGCTATGCTAAGCAGCCATGATGTGAATGGGAACATTATCATACATTTTTTAAAAAATTACTTATTTTAAAATACCCTTCATAGTTAATCATTTAGATTTTATTTTTCAGCTGTAGTGTAATTTCCTAAAATAAATGGAAATCAGAAGATATTGGTAATAAATGTATGAAGGTTTCTTGTATTCAATAACTTTTGTATGCTACTTTTTTATTTACATTACATTAAAATTTTTGTATAGGCTGTTCTTCATTTATTGTACCACTAATAAAGAGTAACATCATATAGTAAAGTCTCTGTTAGAGAAGAGGAAACTTTCATGCTTTTAGCACACTTTGCCCTAAAAGTGAAGGGAATTGTATTGTATATTTCAATACAATACACTAGCAGAGTTGGAAGGGACCTTGGTCTTCTAGTCCAACTGCCTGCCTAGGNAGTCTTATCTCATATATTAGTTTCACCTTTTAAGTTGCATTACTGAAATAAATGAACTTTTGCACGATATTCTAATTTTTTGAGTTTCATCTGTATATATCCAAGTTAAGATTACTTTTAGGTGTCTGTGTTGAAGAACCACTCCTAAAATATTAAAATGGCCAAATTAGAAGTTTGCTTTTAGTACATTTATAGCAGGTTTGTTCTTCTTTGTCCTGAAGACAAACTTATTCTGCCTATTGTACAGACTTTAAGGTACATTTTTTTCTAGTAAACCCAAGGTAATTTCAAACTTTTGGGGATGTTAGCATTGCTTGGGCTGGTTCCATCTTCTCTGGAAATGAGGCATTCAATGAAGAGAATATGATTCCCACTCCTTGTTTGCTGACTCTATGTAGTGTATGGGTAGAAAAGCCTCCATATATTTAGCAAAATTATTTGGATGAGTATATTATTTTTGCTTGCTCTCTCAGATCTTTCAAGATAATATGATTATAAAAATAAATTTATATCTTTTTCTAAAATGCCAGAGGTTCAGGACCCCTTCAGGATAGGGGAATATACTGTACTTTACATAATTCTCCATGTTTATGATTTTAAAAAAATAAAAGCAAAAATAAAAACAAAAGCAGGGACTTTCCCCCCTCATGTATTAATATTTGAGAGAACTTGAATATGATATTTGCCAGTGGGCTATCCATTTATTTCAAAAAATAACAATTTTTAAAAAAACTTTCCTAACCTTTTTTTCTTTCATGACCCCTTTCTACTTTTAAAAGTTATACAGAACCTCTAGAGAATATTGGTTTATAGGGTGACATTTATCAATATTTATTGTATTAAAAATCAGATTAGATGTTTTTGCTATCACTATTTTTTCACAATTGCTTGCTGAGATTTTAATATGTCTACTATATTATATGATATTATATTTATTATATTATATTACATTATATTACCTTACATTATATTATATTATATTTATTATATTATATTTCAACATATAGTGGCTTTGAGAAACACTGACCTAGACTTCTTGTTCCTTTGGCCTGGTTCGTTTGACCTGATTAATATCTTATGTATGTATGTTTTAAAATAAACTGCAGTATTACATCTGCTAAATAAAAAAGAAGTTATCTCAATGTAGGGACATAGAGAACTATGATTTGTTTCAGCATTATAGTGCTTTGATTTTTGTTTCTCTCTTGTTTCTGCTTAGGAAATGAAGTTCTCCCTCCAGGAACTCCAGTTGGAAATGGATTAACAGCAGAAGCTGCAGAAGATCTTGGTCTGTCTAAGGGGATTGCTGTAGCTGCCTCTCTTATTGATGCACACGCTGGAGGATTAGGTATTCTATATATTTGTTGGTTTTGTCATGTAGATGCTTGAGTGTAAAGGCCTGAATCATAGAATAGGATCTCTCTGCATTTTAAGTTAGATCAACTAACTGAAATGTTGCAGCCAATTCTACATAGAGCTACAGTACCTCTGAAGAAATCTCAGAAGCTCCAACTGATCAACGTATGGCACCATTTGTTAGCAGCATTATACCTGTGCTGTAGTCCACTGAACTAATTACAGATTGCTTCCAAGTCAGAGGGTTAACTATTGTCTTTATATGGTACCTGCTGAACTATCTTTTCTGCCCAAATTCGGCTGGTCCTCCCTGTGTGATCTCTGAAGGACAGCATGCTGAGGATCACTACCGAAAATGAGGGAGATGGGCAATCAATCATTGTTCCTTCTAAGTGGTCCCCTCAGCTTTTTAGAATATCTTAGCTTTTGAGATAAGGAATGCCATTAACCTCTTGGCCTGTAAAAAATTCTTGAAGGAGTGCAGAGAAGAGTAACAATGATGATTAGGGGACTGGAGGCTAAAACATATGAAGAACAATTGCTGGAATTGGGTATGTCTAGTTTAATGAAAAGAAGGACTAGGGGTGACATGATAGCAGTGTTCCAATATCTCAGGGGCTGCCACAAAGAAGAGAGAGTCAAGGTTGTTGTTTAAGCTATTCTCCAAAGCACCTGAGGGTAGGACAAGAAGCAATGGGTGGAAACTAATCAAGGAGAGAAGCAACCTAGAACTAAGGAGAAATTTCCTGACAGAACAATTAATCAGTGGAACAACTTGCCTCCAGAAGTTGTGAATGCTCCAACACTGGAAGTTTTTAAGGATGTTTGTCTGAAGTGGTGTAGGGTTTCCTGCATAAGCAGGGGGTTGAACTAGAAGACCTCAAAGGTCCCTTCCAACTCTGTTATTCTATTCTATTCTAAATCTAGAAAACATGTCTATTCTACTAGGACTATTTTAGTTTAGGGAGATGAGACAGACAGATTGCTAATTGTTGGTTTTTTTTTATTGTAAACCACCTCAGGTCCATTTGTGGAAGTGCATAGGTTATCTCTCACAAATGAAAGCAAATATATGTGTCCCGGGATAATGTTATAGGATCTGAACTGAGATTTTCTCTTCTAGCCAGAGAGAAGTTCCTGAAGATGAGCTTCAGGCTGAGTCTGAAAGCTCAGAAGACAAAACCTCTGGTCCTGGTGACCACCCAGATTGGGTCCCCTAGGTTAGAGATAACCATGAAAAAAAAATCTATTAAATAAGACAGATGGCCAGGAAGGCATTAAAAAAACATTAAGAAAATATTTGTTGATTTCATTTCATCAATTTTTTAATGATATCATGAAAGACTGTAGGCAGCCTATGTCCAGTGATATCCAATAAAACAATATACTACATAAAAACAATAATCAGAAAGCATACCTTGAATCTCTTAATTATATGGCACCTTCTGCAGAAGAAGACATAAAATGTAAACTATTGATAAGCTGTGCTAAATAATATAGATAACAGATTGAGGAAAAAAGGGAGAATATCCTGAGTACGTGATAGTTCTTCAGAGCAGTCCCAATGCTTCAGTTGTCTGTTCTTGTGATAAGGCTCAACAAGAGCATTCAAATTTTTATCTTCTGTTTGATTACAATATATTGAAAGTGAATTCTTTCTGCAGTGCAAATGTTTTCTTTGTCAGAACATACATGTGTTACTGAAATAACGGGGTTAAAACAGATTGTACCATTGTGTCTTTTGCCTCATAAACTTTAATTTCAGTATATTCTTCAGCTTGCATCCAGTACGAATACAACCTGATGCTTTTTTCCCTCCTTCTGTTGCTTCACATGACTCCAGATCTGATCTGGCATATGAAGCAGATTTGGCCTACAGTTAAAATCCTGTTGTACTAGCAGATGTCTGTTTCCACATATTATAGATATTCATGTCTAAAGTACAGATTCTTAACCCCGGTCATTTAATGTCTAATAATTTATTCCATATCATGTTGTTCATTTTATAGTCAAATAAATTTTTTTACCTGATTTGAAAAAATAATAATTCGCTATTCCTTCGTTTTTTAGTCAATTTGGTGCTGTCTTTTAAGTGGATCAATTGTTCAATTTCCAGGCATACATTAGAAAGAAATGCTTTAAAATACTGTTTCTCATGTTTGTAAACAATGCAAAACTGAAAGGAAAATGTGGGAGAATTCTTTGTGGATCTATAGCCTCCTCCCTGTCTCTTTATCCACTTACCAGTAGATAGATAGTTTTAAAAAACTATTTCTTCTTTATTTCTGATCCATTTGTTTTGTCACTGTGGAAATTACTGTGGGAATTAATTACAAAGCAAGAAAGAGGATAGGGGGATTTAATTGTTTAGTGATTTATTTAATGTGCTAGAAACCTTGGACAACTATGTTTTCTCATTGGGCAAGTAGATTTTTGAAAAATGAAATGTTCTTGTTTTTCTTATCTTATTTTCCACTATTACTTTGATTGGAAAGCAGTGGTGGCTGCTTTATAGATTCAGCAAATTATTTCTATATACAACTGCCTACTATTTTTACTACACAGATAGTACCCAGCTGTGTATAATATTGGTACAGAATTGATTTCAGGACCTGAAATCTGGTTAGTTTTCCTTTTTAAAGAAAGACACATTGTGTAACAGGCTCTTTGTGCAATTGCACATTTTTCAGCCTGAATTGCTGCATATAAGAAGTCTGCTTGCATTTCGATAGTCAAGAATTCTGTTTTGCATTTGCGTTTCTGTTTTATCTCAGTTGAATATGTGCTAGTGCTTCATTTTCTAATGATTAGGAGTACAGCTGACGTCTCTTTAGGTTATTGTTAAGAATGCCTCTCAAAAGTTTACTATTAAAAATCAGTGCCCCACTGTACTTTGTGAAATACTAGTACACAAAACTATGGAAATTTCCTCAAATAGAAATTGCAAATCTGCAGAATGTGATTATCTGCTTAGACGGAGATAAAGAATGTCTTCTTTATAAATGAATATTAGTTGAAGGATCAATAAAAAGCTTCATTCTTAATATATGGGGTCTCAGTAAAGGATACATTTACTTTTGTACAAAATTTGTGTGAAGTTTATATACATAAATACAAACTAGCTGATAAAGAAACTGGAATAGAAGTCAGCATATAGTAAAGGATGCAGCTTGATTTAACATGTCATACATGAACTTAGGTTTTGAATATCAAGAGATGAAAATAATTGCCCACAGTAACCTCAAAATACAATCTGTCTCTAAAGACCCAGTGGATATTTTAATAAACATTTCACTTAAAATCCAACAGGATTCCATTTTGAAAATGTTTTGATGTTAAAAAAAGAGAGATTTAATGTAGATGCATGTGTTTATTTTAGAAGTGAAAGATGCCATGCTTATTGACCAAAAGCATCTTATTGATATTTTCCTTTTCAAAATTCAGCACTGAGATTTGATTACTCCTTAGTTACTGAAAAAAATAATTATAAAAGACCAACACTCATTTTAATACTGTTTCATAGTCATTTGCATTTTGGTTTAAATTAAATATTGAAATTAAAGTAGAGCTATACAGTATGTAGAGTTTCTTAGAATCTATACTGTTTCTTGAAATTTTAAGACCGAATCCAGATATAACTTAGGTGTAATAAAAACAGTAGAAACCAATGTAAGAGTTTAGTTGTTGTTTATGTACTGTCCACCTCTTTTGATAGGACGTATGGAGAAACCTTAAGTATGTCTATTAAGAACAACCTCCAATTTTATTTATTTAGAATTTATCCAAAGAAAATTCCCTATGATTGCAAGTTGCATTTTTAATAGCCATAGTCTGAATATTCAAAAAGATTATAACTATATTTTGTTGATAGTATTACCTTCAGAAGTGGAGACTGTATTTAGAAAAATTTCATCTTGTTTCTGCCAGCAGTTTTCATAGTCAGTTCACATAAAAACTAAAGAAGTAAACAATATAAGGTTTAGCATCAAAGCATTAGTGAATGTTTAGATATTATTTACAGTTAAATGAAGTAGTCATGTCTTAAATTGAAATTCAGAATCAGTAAGAACAAACGAAGAGTCTGTTCAGCCTAGAATGACGTATTTAATTCAGCATTTTTCTTCAAACAGTGACCAGTTAGGAGGACTAACTCATTAACAAGGCATGAACGCAACAGTTGGTTTGCACTGGAACATATTGCCTCTGATTCTAGAAATTCCATAAAATTCTGATGGTTGAGAGACAGATAAGAGTACCTTCCAAGAATTGTCTGTGGTTTTTTTTTAAAGTATTTGAAGCAATTGAAATAGAGGGTGCAAAAAGAGCTTATAAATATATAAGCTTGATAACACAGAATATCCTTTTAAAGCTATCTGTTATATTTCATACAGCTGTAAATCTGAGCTCTCCCGACATTTAATCCCTTATTCAGGAATCAGCGTACTTGGCAGAATGTTCATAGACTTGACTCAGCAGGATTAGTCTGTTCATTGCAGACAAGAGTGAAGGCATATTCACATAGAAATCTGCCCACTTCAGGACACCCAAATCACATTCACTATGTAGGTCTATGCTCCAGGGTTTAAGTGCCAGGCTTCTTCTCTTGGCTGTTCCTTTGATGCCTTTGGAAGGCACCTGATGTACATTGAAATAACCATTGTTTTTTATCACAGGAACAACTGGTTCCTACCTTGCAGCCATATTCACTATACTATAAGCCATCAGACCTCTCTACATCTTTATTATAGCATATTTTGTAATACAGCTATACCTCATATAAACAGCTATTTTCCTTTGGACTCTCAGTAATTTTACTGGGAAAGTCCTGGTTCCATGAAAGAAGAATAAGATCCCTTCGTCTACTTTCTGATTTTCTGAATTCAAAAACACCCAATGATTTAGCTTGATAGTGTGGTTGCATATGCAAATTAGAAGGGAGGAAAGTAGCAAGCAAGAATTCAATACTACTACTACTACTATTACTACTACTACTACTACTACTACTACTACTACTACTACTACTACTACTACTGTGTTTTCCTGAAAATAAGACCCAACTGGAAAATAAGCCCTAGCATGATTTTTCAGGATGTTCGCAATATAAGCCCTATACCCAAAATAAGCCCCAGTTGAGATCATCAGCCAGGTAGACGCATTGAGTACCATATTTTCCTGAAAATAAGATCTAACCGGAAAATAAGCCCTAATTTGCCTTTTGGAGCAAAAGTTAATATAAGATCCGATCTTATTTTCAGAGAAACACGGGTATATTGCCTCATCATTTTTTATTTTGAAATCCTGCAGACATACTAATACCCACATTTTCTACCACCACATTTGAAACTTTTATCTCCTATAGACCTGGGGTATGTCCATCCACAAATCTTATTTAATTCTACATGTTCTTATCCTATGGCTTCATCCTATTGTTTAGCAAACTTTTGGCTACATTTTGCAAGGACAAGAAAATAGAGATACAGACTGTTTTTTTAATATTTGGCAGGTTTCTCAACAAATATCACTTAAAAGTTTCGTTTTGCCTTCTTTATTTTTATACCAGGTATGATTGGAGCCAACGTGAAAGGACATAACTTGCCCTGTGAAAATCAGCCAATTACTTCCCGGCTGGCTGTAATATGTGGGACATCATCATGCCACATGGCAGTAAGTTCATGGTAGTAAATTACCAACTGTGTACATTTAGCTGATGAAAAACGAACCTTTTAACAGCTTTTAATTTCTGTTGTACTCTGTTTTGAATTGTGAGGATTTTGAAGCTATTGTTAACCTTCACAGGTTTATATATCATCATGAATTTTCAATAAAGAAGCAGCCATAATAATAGTAGGCAATCAGTACTATGGAAAGGGCATATAATATAAAAGCAGTGTTAAAAATTATTCTACTCTGACTTTAACTGGGTATAATGAAATTATATCTGTGACTTGGACCCTGAGTAACCCTTGATGAGGGTTGATGATGCTACTCTATAATGGAATATTCAGTGTCTTTAGACTTTCATCTCTCCCACCTCCTTACTTAATCAAAATAAATCTTTCTTTCTTGAGAGCTCTAATGATCTATAAAATTTTGAGACAGATTATGGCTCCAAAAGAGGCAGGATAAGCCATTCTTGCTTCCATAATTTTTCTCAGTGAATTAGTGCGAAAGCTTTTCCCTGGAGTTTTAATTACAGCTCAGAGTGTCTCTTTTTAAAATTAATATTGCTTAGCCTAAAATCAATCAATTTTTGTGACTAGCCTTTCTATCATTTTTTATTCATTTAGAAATTATTTATGAATCATTGGATGAAATTTAACGAAATTGATGTATATGAAGCAAAAATGGTTAGGTATACACATTCTCTACTAATTATAGTGGGAACATTTTGTTATCTTTATATAAATGATATATGTGGTATAAGTTAGAATTTTGTAAACTAGTATTTGTAGTCACATATATATATATATATATATGTTTGTGTGTGTGTGTGTGTGTGTGTGTGTGTGTGTGTGTGTGTGTTTGTGTGTATGCTTGCATGCAAGAAAAAAGCTATAATAAGATATTACTTGCAACAATAGTCTAGTATAGTGGTGGGTTGCAGGTGGTACGCTCCGGTACGAGTGTACTGGAGCCTGCCGGAGCACTGGGTACTGGTACGGTGCTCTGGAGTGCCCACCCGCCCACCAGGGCTCCTTACCTGCCCTTTAAGCCTTTGGCGATTCTGTGCATGCACATGGCGCATACCGCGCCTGTGCGATGCTCCGCCAAGCAGCTGGAGCATAACGGAGGCTTGCGTAGGCGTCACAGGCAGGTACGATGCATACGTGTGCTGCACGCCTACGTGTGCTGCACGCGTCCATGTGGGTGACCATGTGGATCCGGAACCACCACTGGTTTAGTACCTTAGTATTCAATTGTAAAGAAAATGATTTTGATCCAGCTATTTAGATATATGAGCTTTTGCATGAATTATAGTTCCTAGCAAAGGAGAATTTGAGTCTAGATAGTTTTGTGGTGATGAGAAATTCTTTCAAACTCTTTTGAGCTTAGTTTGGAATAACCCCAGGCCAAATAAATCCATCTGGAATCATTTTGATATCATCCCTTTTTCATCTTTCCTTTCTTATGGTCCTATCTCAAACTCATGAAGATAGTAAACAGGAGAGTTGGTAGCATTGAAGTTTTGGGCTTGAGGCTTGTAAATACACTTATACTTAATTTACAACAGGTCATTTAGTGATCATGTGATTAAAATTCAGATGCTTGGCAACTGTTTCATACTTATGGCCATTGCAGTGTCCTGGGGTCATGCAATCCCCTTTTGCGACTTTCTGACAAGCAAAGTCAGGTGGGAAACCAGGTTCACACAAAAATATGTTACTAATTTAACAACAGCAGTGATTCACTTAACAGCTGTAGCAAGAAAAGTCATAAAATGGGGCAAAACTCACTTAACAAATTTCTTACTTAGCAACATAAATTTTGGGTTTAGTTGTGGTCGTAAGTCAAGGACTTATACTGACAAGAAAGGACATATACTGACAAGAAACAAAGGGAAAAATGTTTTGAGCATTTAAATACTGAATGTTGCTCTAATAATATATCTAGTGACTACTGAGTCAGCACTAAACATTTCCTTGGTAGCACATAATCATCATAATGAATTTCTCTTAAAGAAAGTTGTTTGGTAGAAAGAAAAAAGAATGAAGTTTTCGTCGGTACATGTTATTATATCACCTTATAATGGATAATTAGCATTGTGTAACAATTGCTATTGTTAAGGTTGCTGACTTGTTGTTCCAAGTAGAATTAATTGCATTGTCAGAATAGTCAGTATGGGTAATTGATTAATTAATTAATTAGTTTATACATCATAGTTATATAGCTATCTATCTTACAAATTTATGACTCCAGATGTCACACAATAAAAGAGACAGTCATAAAATTAATAATTAAAAATTCAATTATAACACAGATTAACTGATAACCATCGTGTTTTCCCCAAAATAAGACAGGGTCTTATTTTCTTTTGACCCTAAAATAAGCACTTGGTTTTATTATTTTTGTGATGCAGGAGGCAGCTGCTGCTGTTTTGCAATATTTTCAGGGAGTGCTTATTTTCGGGGGAGGGCTTATTTTACTGCATGCGCTCAAAAGCCCAATTGGGTTTATTATCCGGGGAGGTCTTATTTTCAGGAAAACTGAATAGAAAGTGACAAGCCAAATCACTTACATGTTTTCCAAGAAATACAACTGAACACAGTGGTAAACACTGACTTAATACTCTGCAGCTACATAACATTTCATTATCTATGTTAAAAACATCACTTTTGCTGATCTAGCTTTTTTTAATGATTTTGAGTTTAGCATCCTAATCCTAACCCCGTTTTAAATTAAGAAATAAACCTTTAAAAAAAAATAAACTAATCATTCTTCTGCTTTTTGGAATATTTAAGAAACATGATAGGTTTTAGACAATTGAAATCAAAAGCCTGGTTGGGCTTATTATCTGGGGAGGTCTTCTTTTCAGAGAAACAGAGTATTGTTATTTTTCTTACATACTTAATTTGCCTATATGTTTACTAAAAATAGAATAAGACACTTTGCAGTAAGTCTACATCATGATTAGCAGATTTATTCATTGGCCCCCAAATGAATCTGTCTGCAATAATTGCTTACCCTGATCAATTCTCACGATATAAAGAAAGAATGGACTAAACAAGCAATAGCAATACAGATGTAAACAGACAGGGATTTCCAAGACTTCCAGCATTAATAATCTTCATTTTGCTGAAGGGCACATGCTGAAGGGTATGTGGACTAGTGGGTTAAGACTATCCCAGAGTTCCTTCCTTTTCTACATAAGGGGGAAAATAGGATGGGGTAGATAACACCAGGAATGGGATTCTATTGGTTTGGACCGGTTCGGGCGAACTGGTAGCTCCGACAATCATCTGGGTGCGAACTGGCTTGCTCTGATGATCAAGTGGGCTCACCTACCCCTGTGCTTTACTAACCGTTATCTTCTCAGCTGAATGGCGCGGCGGAGTGGATTGCTGCGCTTCAGCTGTTTTCCTTCCTAGCAGCAATGTAGAAGGTAAGTATTCTCAAAAGTGTGCACACTCGCGTAGTGTGAAGTGAACCATTTGTTTAACTGGTAGGATCTCAGCCCTGGACAACACAGTGATGTCCCAAGGTTTTGGAGAACACCAAGCTGGAACCTTGTGTAACAGAATACAGCAGTAGCTTGAACTAGAAAGTAAAGTGGCTTAATAAACACAAAGATCCCAATTATCAATATAGATTCAAAAATATATCTGGCTAAATTAATCGGTCCTTTGGTCTCTACAATCCAATCACACAATTTCAAAGAACAAGGCCTAAAGAGCAATTTTTAGTTATATATACTAAATGTATATAATATACTGTATGTCTGGCTATCAATAGAAAATAGGTAATCATAAATGTAAATAATGTACAGAGGTAAACCAAATAAAAGGGCATTTGTCACTCATGCAGTTTTTTTAAAAAAAGATGGACGAAGGATGTAGGAAAAAGTGTAGTAAATATATTAATTTGTAATATAAATTTATGTAAATTAATCCTTTCATTTTTATTAGTTAAAAGGGCCTATAAAATGAACAGGCTGACTTTAAACTGATTAGTCTGATCATACATCTATGAATTACAACATTGTTAGAAAATAATATGAAGAATGTATGTATGTATTTGAGTTTTTGCCCATGAAAAGAAATAGCCAGAGTAAAGCTTTTGATTAAACAATAGTGATGATACAATATGTTGATGTTGATGTTTATTGGTCTTGTATGCCGCCCACTCCCGAAGGACTCCGGGCGGCTTACAATAAACAAGGGAAGGGGATAAATA